CCGTGCACCTCAACCCTTCTAAAAGCTTGGTACACTTCTCATTTTTGCGCACCTGGAAATACAATAGCAACTGTAACTTTCCACCACCCCAGCGGAACATGATCTCCTTCGTGCGCGGCTGGAGCAGTAAACTCTGAATTTTCTGCAGGTGGGAGATTCATGAGCTCGCACCACATGAAAACATGAAAAACATGCTTGCATGACGGAGACTTCCCCCATTCAAAAATCTGAAGTTGTGCAACTTGAGGCCGAGTGGTCAAGTCCGGAGTTTGGTCCCCCCTCCCAGTGGATTGTTGGATTGTTGATTTCCCGGATCCGCACCTGTGGTGCTTCGCCTTGGCGAGGGCTGGGCCGAGTGGATTTGTTGACGATGCCGGACAAGGCGGTAGACCAGAAGATTTTGCAGCACTATGGCTATCACAGCGGAAAAGTGGCACGAATTCAACTCTTACATGGATGCCCGACATTGCCTAGGGCCTAGGCCTGTGTGTGTGTGTGTTTGTTTTGTGTTTTTTTTGTTTTTGTGTGCGTGTGGGTGTGTGGTGTATATATGAATTTAGATTGAACTTATTATTTTTTGCTGTGGTGGATGTTGGAAGCTATGGGTATTTCATGGCATTGGTATGATGGAAGCTGGCGCACACAGGAAAAAACACATGATGTCAAAGAGGTTCTCTTGCATTTCGCATCTTCCTTGGCCACACAAGTGGCGCAGACGCCACAGACAATTCTTTTTCTACATGTTTTCCCTCATGTTGAAGAGAAATTTGGTGCTTCCAAGGAATGCTCATTCGGAAGGCCAAGGGAAATTGGAGTGCTCAGTGGACGCCTTCGAAGATTGTGGAAGACATGGACCTTGAGGTCTTCTTGCAAGTGAGCCACGTCCAAGACCACGTGGAAATTTGCGGAAATCAGGGCACGACCCGACTCTACTTCTTGAACCATGACAAGCAGAAGCCTCACTGTCTCAGAGTATGTTGAGGGCATGCTGGAAAGAAATTCTTTAGATATCAGGCGCCAAAACAACTACTTCCGCGGGTGGTTCGGTGGTTCAAGGGACACTGTACTGAGCACTTTTTCGCGCCTCAAATGGTCCCAGTTGCAACCTTCTCCAGTGTCCCATTTTTGAGTCACGAACCGGACGCGCAATTTGTAGAACCAAAAGGGTGTCTTGACACTTGGGATCACTGACCCTGGTGCTGTCAGAGAAGGTACTAGTAACCATTAGCAGACGTTGCATGATGGTTGCCTGCGTTGAGTTGCCACAGAACCCACTTCACCAATTTCAGCGTAGAAGAAATATGCAGATATTCTTCGGAACTTGCATAATGCTGCTCTTCTCCAAAGCCGTTCGACCACCCCCTCAACCAGTCAGCTTTGTAGCCCCAATCATCCTACAGAGGTCACCCAAAGCTTCCAAACAAAGCACCCCACACTGCAAACCAGGACCCAGGACGATGGGTGTCCTCTAAAGATCCCTGATGGTCACTCCGGCCAGGACACCGTCGTCGTCGATGTCGCCGTCGTCCTGGCTGAGGATCGGCTGTGGAAGCTACAGCACCGAGCTCGAAGATCTACTGCTCAGTGGGAAGAATTGCTTGGTGCGGGAGGTCCCAGATGAGACCCGGCTGGGAAGCGACTTTGACGGGGGCCTGGTTGGGGTTGATGCTTGGCATCTTACTAAGTACTGAGAAAAGGGCGAGGCTGAGTCTAGCTATCCCACTTGCATTGGATAGGCATCCAAAGATGACCGGGTTTTTGCACTGGTCCTTGATACACTTGTTGGTGCCTTTTTGGTGGCATATGCGGCATATGCCATGTTTTCGCTTCTTTGGTGCAGCGACTGTCCCCACCCAGCTCTGACGGTTGAAAACTGTGCCTCCCCGAGGTCGTCGGTGTGATGTTCGGGTGTGATAGGCATCGGGTATGATTGAACTTCACAAAGAGCAACATCAAGTACTACCATAGAAATCATGTGGACAAGTGAACCTGCCTTGCGTAACTTGCAACTGAATTAACACCCGTGAGATTTCCTGGAAAGATGTGCTGCACAGAATTCAAACACGTTCTTTGCACCAAGTTTTGAGGGTTACCCGACTTGGGACCGTACTTCAGATGCCCTCAAGTCAGGGGTGTTGCAAGAAAAAAAGATGAAAACCAGTACTGGCCTGTATCTCAATATGACAGGTTAGCATCTCATCTCGAATCTCGCGTGTCACCATTTCTCAAGACTGACCGCAGCATGGCCACCATTGAAGTGGTAGTGACCTGTAGTGACACCAAAGTTAGATCAGTCGGGCTTACCAGATTCTCTTTCGACACGGCCTCACAGTACATGCGAGCCCTATTGAGAGACCTCCCATCCAAACTGTGGTGGATTCAGATATGTTTTCAACCTCGCCTTTAATTGGGATGCTTGAACCCACTGACATCCCACTGACTCATATGTTTCTGGTTTGAAACCACCAACTCGACCTCCCAAGCGTCCACCGGTGGATCATGTCAGGAGCTCCGCTCTTTGTTGTTGGGCCGCACCGTCAGCTCCGGGTCCTTGCGCGCGCTACATGCGGTGCGACGGCTCATGCGCTACGTCACGACCTTGGGCTTGGCACAAACCAAGGGGAACGAGGACGGGAAGCAAACTAGCACTGAATGGAGTGAAGCTGCCTGGGCAATTTGGGTAGCTCTTGGAAAGGCCTTTTAGTCTAAGAGCCGAGAGCTGATTATGACTGTATAATTATCAATTCAATTAACAGCTAATATTCTGTGGCTATTGTTATATTTGCGTACGTTGGTTCCATAGCAGTCAACATCCAGTCAGCCCTTTCGTATTTGGCACGCACTGAGATTGGGACGGACCGAGGGGTGAATCGCCGGACACTTTCGGAGAGGTTCTGGAAGATTGAGCGCAAGCGCTTGCACACACACATACCAGGACCATCCAGTCTGGGTGTCCTGGCTGGACTACCCTACACTACTTAGGGATCTCCAGACAGGACACCCATTGCATGGTCCAGGTATTGAACCATATTGAAGCATGTGCTGCATATGCCATAGCCAATGCGTTCACTTGGCAGGAGTTCAGCAATGCAGCACCCTGGAGATTTGGGGGGAAACGCCGGGGGTCTGTCCAAACCGCCGGCCTACGGGGGGGGTCTGAAAGTCTGAAATCGGCCGCCGAGTGTATAAACGGCCATGCTTTCCTTCCACCAGGGAAGGCTAGCCTCTTCGTTACAAGGTCCAAATGGTCATGGCCCCTCCAGGGGCGAAGTCCACGCACTGTTGGCAATCCTCAAGGAAGTAGAGTAAGGCCCATGCCAGGCTTCAAGACAAGCATGCTCAGAATTGAGTTTTTTTTTTTTTCTGGGGCCCCGTGTTTAACCTTTTTCTAGGAAACAACCTTTGAAGGCAAAGACATTGGTTTTGCAATCCACCTTTGTGTGAGACTGTGGCCAAGTGGGCTTCAGTCATGAAAGGTAGCCTGAGCTACCTGAGTTTTTTGTTGGCTTTCGTACAGGGCCCGGATCGTCCTCACATTGGCCAATTCCTTGCAAATCCATGTTCATGCACTCTTTTGTTCTGTTGTGAACATCGACCTGGATAAGGACCATGTTGTAGAGCATCGTGCTTTTGAGACCATTTCCCATGCCCGCCTTCACAATCATCAGTGCATCAGCTTTGTTCCACCCCAAGATTTTAAGATTTGCTTGAGGTCTTCGTGGTCTCAAGTGGTCCCGGAATTCTCTCAACAGACGATTTGCCCATGAGGTCCAGATCTTCTACCAGCTCAATCGCCACGTCGAGGTCTCCAGCTTTACAGAGCGGGCACCGGGCGTGGCGGGCGCCTCACCGCTGGTGTACCGCTTTGATTTGGCTCAGCCGAAGCAGGTGGATGCGTACTGGACGTGCTTGGAGCAACAAGTGAAGCATTGGCTTGGACACGGAGATTTGATGGCACACTTACAGTGGCTTCAAGAAGTAGATTGTACAAAACCCTGAAATGTACAAACAAATGAGGAATAAGACGCACACCAAACTTGGGGGCCCTTGTGCAATGTAATCTCTCCATTCACTGTAGATATAGGTCGTTGGTGTTTTCAGTTCACCCGGGTGACCCAAGACCCAAGTCTCATTGGTCGTTGGCTGGTTGGTTTCGGAAAGAGCACGTTGCTCGAAGACGTTGCTCGTTGGGGCAACGCCAAACACCAAGGACGAAGCGGTGGCCAAGGAAGCTCCAGTGAGAAGGAGCAGAAAGACAAGAAGCAAAAGGAGAAGAAAAAGAAGGACAAAAGGAAGGAGAACGAGGACAAGGAGGACAAAGAGAGGGGGGAAACGAAGGGGAGAGCTACTTGGCCGGACAATCAGCTTCTCCCTGTCCCCATTCAAGTTGAAAACCTTTGGTGCTGAAAATCTCCAACTGCACGATTGGCCAAGATCCTCCACTTTTGAATCATTTGTTAATTGTTGATGGGTGCTGCTTTCAGTGTAGAAGGATATAGATTAAGGATTGGATGTATTTTTGCAGTGCAGCACTTCGGCAGTTCAGCTCTCCTCCAAACCCACCTGGGAGACCGAACCGCCTTCACGAGGTGACTCCTCCGAACGGAGCGCCGCGGGAGCTCTTCAATTTGAAGAACTGGAGTAAGTCCACTTGGCACCTAAGTCGCAAGGCCGGAAACGGCACACATACTACTTGATCATTGATTGATCATATATTAATTGCCTGGTCACAGAAAAAGCAATGCCTTTAAACTGTTTCCCCAAAGACCGCGTCGTTTCCTGTGACAAGGCGGAAGCTGGCAAATTGTGTGGTGGCGAGGTGAGACGCCAAAAAGACATTGCATTTTTTAGACGTCCAAACCGCGTTTTACCCTGTGCATAGACTTTGAGCATACATTTGCAGCATTGAAACAGCATGCTTCTTTGATTTATAGGTGTTTTTTCCACTGACAAATGCATCTGGCAAACATTTAGCCAATTTTTTTTGGTTTATCCGGGGTGCCAAATATGGGTGGTACATACGCTATTATATGCGGGTGTTGATGGAACCACCCTGCCAAACAGGCTGCCACCGATGGACGGTCCGTTTTGGAGCCGAAATCAGCGACGCTGCCGAGGCTTTTGCCCCACCAGCGGATCTCGATGAATGACTTCTACAATGAGGTGCTCTCAAAACTGGAGCAGAAGCTGGATGAGCAAACTCTAAGGTCGCAAGATGTCGCAAGATATTTTTCTCTCATACCCAGATGTTTCACATGCATCTTCTTACCCCAAGGGCATGAGGATTATTTTTGAAGGTTTGGAGGTGCCCCTTTTTTTAACAGCCACTAGTACAGCCACTGTAAGTGTTTTTGGTCAGGAGGATGGTTTCCAAAAACTCATTAGGTGACGTCCCAGGGTGTAAGGACTCAATGAAATACCCTGGTCCCTTTGTGGAACCACAGTGAAATAACCAATTCTTCAATAATTATAGCTGAGATCACAGGCGCCATCCACAAATTGATGGAAGTTATCATATGATCATTTTAGGCATCGTTTTTTGCTGAACACCCTACTCTTTTCCTAAGGAAAAGCCCTCGTGAGGGAGAGCTCAAGGCGCCCAGCCAGGTGCGCCCGCCTCCTGCGAGAGGTTGGCCGGAGCGGCACATCGCACGAGTGAAGCGAACATGCCATGCCATGCAAGGGTTCCTTCAACCAATAATAGCAGGCACACCTCTTTATACAGAGAGCTGCGCTCCTCGACATCATCATGGAAGTGGAACATGGCCCCGGAAGGATGCATTTTCCTCTTACAAACAGGTGGTTGTCCTTTTCCATGATCTTCCATGCCAACCTCAATCGAGGAGTGTCCTGCGGAGGCGAGGAGAAACTGCGCTGACACATCTTCGCACTTCCAGGGCGACCGACACCGATCGTCGCGACCGTTCCATGCCGCGTTTCCGTCTTTTGTCGCCAGGTGTTGACCCCGAAGAGCGCCGAAATCATGGCGCTGAGCCGTCGGATCATGGTGGCACCGGATCAGATCATCAAGTACTGCAAGAGCCGTCAGGAGGCAAGAAATAGCGGATCAGTTGTTGGGGACCGCTTGTGGTTGTAAGAGGACTAGTAGGCCAGGGGTGGGGTACGAGAGACGGAACTTCCAATTGTACGGGGCTATGAGGGAGTCTCATTGACACCATCAAAGTTGTGTTGCTTTGTCGTGTTTTTGGATGCTTTGGGCAGGATGACAGGTCCAGAGGATGTCATGAAGATGCGTGCCCATTTGGCCCTCCAGTCCATGCAGCGGCCCCTTCAGCCTCACAATCGACCACATCCTGCAACGGTTCCCACACCGCGGAAGTGTGAAGAGATCGATTCGATCCGAGTCATTCCTACGTGCGAATCCTCCTCCTTGCGTTGTTGAAACGTCGATCTATTGAGGAACCCTTCTGCCTACTATAAGGGTCCCCTGTCCGAACTCCCACTCGGCTCGAAAACCCACGGAGCGAGCAAGCGAAGCGCTGGGAAAGCCAAGGGGTTCATCTCGGCGGAACCCGCCGAGCGTTCGCAGGTCTATGGTCCTCATCCCTCGGATGGAGGACCATGCGTGGAGTTCTCTTCCCTGATGGCCGCCACTGGAATGGAGGATGGCCATCAGGGGAAAGGGGACAGAAGTAGAGAACAACCACGGATTGTTTTACTGTTCTTTTGGTGGGAGGTTGGGTGCCATTGTGGTTGGTCTTTAGGATGTTTTGAGCCACACTGCTTATAACTTATAGCGAACCAACACCTTTTCAATTCTTGTTAAGCATTGGGGGAGGCAGGTGAAAACAGAAGTAACATGGCTTATCTAACTGTCCTTTCGAGTGATGACTACGCGGGAAAGCTGAACTTGTGGTAAGATGATGACTTCCCACAGTTATTGGTGGGCTCCTTTACTTTGGTCAGCATACCTGGCGAGGTCTACATAACTTGCATTAAGCTCGTGGTGGGGTGCCTATAGTGATAGGTTCAGCGGGGTTGCACCTCTTCAGTGATCATGAACCACACGGCGTGCGTAACTTATGTCATGCGTATATCGCCATAAAAGCCTCCCCCAGAAACATGTTTGTGGAGCCGCTGAGGCTCAAAAATGCTTGCTGCACTGATAAACTCTCCCGCAATATAAAACCTTGAACCTTATAATTGGATATCATCAAAAGGTGCGTGAGAGGATATGCTAGAAGGAGTGCAACCTGGTAGGTATATAGGTAGAAGGAGTTGAACGCGTAATTGTTAGATACAGAAAGCGTAATTGTTAGATACACATTATAGTTTATAGCGTGAGTTCATGGATATCACTCTGACAATTTTGTTGAATTCTCCGGAAAGGGTATCATAAAGAATCTGGTAGTTTTTGATTGGCTGCAACAACTCCACATACTTGACTGTTGCAAGTATTTGATCAAATTAACTTAAGCAAATAAGTTTGCATATAAAGATTATAGACCATTACAGTATTACAAACTTACCTGCTAATCAAATAATTAGACAATTGAATGTTAAACTTAGGTTACTTAGGTTCCTATATTATTGCAGGAGAGTAGGCCGGGCTTATTATTGCATCCTGCTAACACATGGAAGTTGGACGTATGTTGATTATTGAGTAGCAGAAAGTGACCTTTATTATCGTAACCTACTAGACGCAGGCTTGTCTTTCTTGTAGAACAGCAGTAAGTCAAGTTGATTTTTGCCACCTGCTTACTGCTAACGCATTGAATTTGGAAAGCAAATTGTGATTGAACAGCAGCAAGTGGAGTTTATTACTCTGAAACCCGCCAATTAAACCATGAATGGCAGCTGATTTTTGCAGCAGCGGGAAGTTTAGTTCGTTATTGACACCCAATGCCACTCATCAACCTAAGATGTTCATTGGGAACTCTAGTTGCATGTTCCTAAGTCTCAGTTTTCTTGAATCAAATTGGACGAGCATTGTGTTTCGATTTCAAACTTACACGGGCATTGACGGACTTTTGCAGGAGAAATCTTTGGTTTACTGCATATGGGAATTCGCTAAGTAGTGCATAGCTTGGAAGCAAATGGTGCAGTGCCCAGAACCTGTCAAAAAGCTTGATTTGGGTTGGCTTGCCCAGTCATTGACATGGCGGGTGCCCAAGGTTCGCTTCAAGTGCCACCTTTGTGGGCATTTGTGCTTCCAGCGATGCAGTCTTTGGGCGAAACTTCGGAGAATCAAACTAAAGCCCTTGCTATAGAGTGTGGATACGGAATAAGACAATCAAAGCAATAGATTTAGTTTGGTCTAATATATCCTGCATGACCTATGTAACATTGGCCATTCTTGAATGCTGGCTGGCTGTGCTCTGAAATTGCATGAAATTGCTCCCTTATTGGCCGACCTCGTAACACCTCACGCTCTCAGGCATCAATGAGCATTATTCGAAGATCCACCAAGAGGACTGATGATCTGAAATGAGCAACCCAATTCTTCGGGGCAAGGCCGAAGATAGATCGGCCGAGTTGATGAGTAGGACATGCAGGACCTTGTGCGCATGACTCGGTGTATGGGCCAAACATGGAAATTTGGAGTGGTTTGGAGACGCTGTTCCTCAGCTATGGGTCTTCAGGGGGGCAGTAATTACGTTGGTCATCAAGTCCGGTTCCTTGTTCATTGATTTGTGTCCCATGTTTCTGTCCAGAGGTGTTTTGTATAAACATATCCTCACCCGGACCCTGCTTCACGGCTGAGCTCCTGCGGACACCTAGGAGCTTCCAAAGGACGAGAGCCTCTACACTGAGGCGGACTTCTACGCCCAGCGCTTGGAACAGGCGAAGCCCACACGCCACTGGGACAGCGGAACCGGTGGGATGAGTGGGAGTGTACGGATGGGGGTCCGGTACGTGGCAGTATGAGCTAGTGACCCCAGAATG